GAACAGCTAATGAAATAATGCGGACTTCAGATGAATCGGATACATCCAATAACGACGGTCGCGACGGCCACCTATCTGGCGTTTCTAAAATAAACGGAGGGCCATGCCAGTATAACGTATAATCACAGNACGGAGGGCCATGCCAGTATAACGTATAATCACATAATTTAGAGGGCAATACCCCGCGCGATACGCAGTCGGCCGGGTTGACGGTTGTGTTTACATAGGACCATGAGCACTCAGGTATTAAACATTGTACCTGGTGTACTCTATTTGACACATATGCCTTAAAAGTATCATGTGGTACACTTAGCCACGATAATACCACGAGCGAATCGGTCCAAGCATGAGTCGCGATAATATTTAAATCCGTAGACAAAATGGATTTAATTCGTCCTAACCAACGTGCTAAGAGTACTGCGGCATTTAACTCGAGACGGGGTATAGAAAGTGGTTTAATCGGAGCTAATTTAGTTTTCGCGCCGATAAGGAAAATAGACGATTCAGTTAATGGATTTTCGACGCGCAAATAAATAACGGCGGCGTAGCCACGCTGAGACGCATCACAAAACCCAAGAAGCCGACACGTGGAGTTTTTACACGTGCCGATATAACGCGTAATTTTAATGTGCGACAACAGCGGTAGCTCCGCAACAAAATTTGACTACTCCATACTAATATCGTCAGGTAATTTTTCGTCCCACCCTAGGGACAGTTGCCAGGTTCGTTGCATTATAGATTTTGCCAACATAATACAGGGAGACAGAAGGCCGAGTGGATCAAACAAGCGGGCTATTAATGATAAGACGCCTCGCTTAGTAGTAACAAGTACCGATTCTATGCGGGGCACATAATAAAAATAATCACCGGCATCGTGCCACTGAAGTCCTAGAACCTTTGTTCCTCCCCCATCACTGTCATCGAATGACAACGACGTCGCAGCACGGTGTTCTACCGAAACAGCGTCTAGAACAGCAATGCAATTGCTTGACCATTTCCTTAGCTCTAACGCTGATTTCCCTAGCACCGAAATTAACGCCTTCTGTAACGACAACGCGCCTTCTACAGTATCCGCTCCAGTACACACGTCGTCTATATACGTTTGATAGCGCAACGCGTGACGAACGGCAGGCTCGTCGATACAGTCGTTGTCGGCTATAAACTGTAGCACGCGCAGCGCCAGGTACGGCGAACTGTTGACACCGTAAGTCACCGTATTAAGTTCATATTCAACAAGTTCCTCAGTCGACGAAGAACGCCATAAAACGTGTTGAAATTTACGGTATTCAGGATTTATCAAAATTTGCCGATACATTTTGCAAATGTCGGCGGTAAAAGCATATTTGCGCAAACGGAAACGGCAAAGTACGTCAACAACTTCTTGTTGCAACTTCGGACCAGCATATAAGCAGTCGTTCAATGAGCTTCCGCCCCACGGTACAGCCGAACTGTCAAATACGACACGAATTTTACGAGGGTCGATTTCCGGCTTGTACACAGCATGGTGTGGTATAAAATACAATCCCGGGGAAGAGGCTACGGACATATGACCAAGTTTAATATAATCTGCCATAAATTCACAATAGAGTGCACGTAGTTTCGAATCAGTTTGTAACCGTTTCTCTAAATTTTCGAATCGCTTAAGGGCCAAATGACGAGATCCCGGAAAACTAAGTTTGTCTGGAGACAACGAACGAAATGGTAACGGTACAGAAAAACGGCCTGACGGGAGCCGTACGCATTGTTCACAGAAAATTTTCTCGCATTTTCCATCATTGGTAAAATCGATTGGGGCTGCGTCAGGTTCCTCCACCTGCCAAAACTTATCTAACATTGTCTCTAAAGAGGTTGTTAATGATACCACATTTAAACACGGCAGGGAGACAGTGGTGGGAGCGCCACCGATGAGCACCCATCCAAATATCGAACCGAATGCGGCGGGAAGATCGTTATGTACAACAATACGTTTGCCATTCAAAATTAATGAGTATAAATCAGCACCCAGCAGAAAATCGATCGAACCGGGCGTATCGAATGACGGGTCGGCAAGTGCTAGATTGTTATAATTTTGCCTAACATGAGCCGTAATTACCTGCCGCGGTAAATTACTTGTAATTGACGGCAAAATCCATGCTTTGACCGTCAATACCGGTTCGCTAGAAAAACGTGGCTGCATCTGACATGTCATAAAACCTTGGGTGTCGGGAACCTGAATCCCAGAAAGACCCGTAACGGACTGAGTCCATCGAGTGCGCGGGAGACCGAGGCGATCCGCGAATGCCGTCGTCATGGCACTAATTTGCGACCCGGAATCTAACAATACGCGTGCCGTTTGAAGAGTGCCCGACCTATCACGAACATGAACTAACGCTGTCCCCAGCAATACTGTCGGCGTAGTATTTGCTGTAAGACCCGAGAAACTATTTGACGGCACATCAACTGTGGCCGACGAACTATCAATAGGTTGGCTGGGTGCGCGGGGTGGTCTATCAATGTGTAATAATGTATGATGTCTCCGATTACACCGATTACACGTCGCTGCTGAACATTTCGTGGAATAATGAGTAGCGATAAGGCATCGAAAACACAGGTGTTTATCGCGAGCAAACTGCAACCGGTCATTAACGGTCCAACTGATAAAAACATTACAATTAACTAGCGTATGTTCACCTTTGCACGCTGTGCATTGTTTCGATACTTTAATGTTATTGACTGGTTTTGTGGTCGCGAGCGACATTACCGGAAGCCGACTATTTTGCTCATTACGCCTAGCTTTATAAACATTGTGCACATTACCATGAACAGGGCGACAATCTTGAACATTTTCTAAAACGGCTACTCGTCTTTTTACAAATTTAATTACGTCATCGGCTGAGGGATATTCGGCTACCGTTTCAGCCTCGAAACATTTCCGACTTGAAGTCGGTAAACAACGGGAGCATAGCGCAAATAAAAGAAACGACCCTATATCAGGTATATTTAATGCTTTAAGCAACGAAATACTCTCGTCAAAAGTTTTCAGAAACGCATTTAAGTCGGCAATACTTTCTTGACGCAACATTTGGGCCGATAGCATTTTTTCGACTAACA